GAAACTTGTCGAAATCTGGCAGTTGTTGTGGCTACTGAAAGGGCAAATGTTCCCCTATTTATTTATGTAAGTTTCATATCCATACTTCCTTCAATTGGGAAGTTATTGTAAGAAGAAGGCTTTGGTTGTTGTCCTGCTGCTTGCTAATTTTGTGCAATTCCCCTGTCCCTTCCTGCGCAATGATGGCTCTCTATGTTGCAGCATAAAAGGCCCGAAACTTGTCCAAATCAGGAAATCTTGGTGGCATCTGAAAGGTAGCTTGGTCCTCTTTATATTGATGTTAGTTTCATATCCATATATACTTTAGTTGGAAAATTATCGTAAGAAGAAGGCTTTGGTTGTTTTCCTGCTGCTTGCTAATTTTGTGCAATTCCCGTGTCCCTTCCTGCGCAATGAATGCTCTCCATGTTGCAGCATAAAAGACCTGAAACTTGTCCAAATCAGGCAATCTTAGTGGCATCTGAAATGTCGATTTGTCCTCTATATATTGATATAAGTTTCATATCCACATTTCTTCTACTTAGGAAATTATATGCAGAAGAAGGCATAAATTCATGTTGAACTACTTGCTAATTTTGTGTTATTCCATTGCCTCTTTCCATTACAGGTTCCTTCCTGAGCAATGATGGCTCTCTCTGTTGCAACATAAAAGACCTGAAAATTATCGAAATCTGGCAGTCGGTTTGGCTACTGAAAGGGCAATTGTTCCCCTTCTTATTTATGTAAGTTTCATATCCATACTTCCTTTAGTTGGGAAATTATCGTAAGAAGAAGGCATTGGTTGTTGTCCTACTGCTTGCTAATTTTGTGCAATTCCTTTGTCCCTTCCCGCGCAAAGATGGCTCTCTATGTTGCAGCATAAAAGGCCTGAAAATTGTCCAAATCAGGCAATCTTGGTGGCATCTGAAAGGTAGATTTGTCCTCTATATATTGATGTTAGTTTCATATCCACATCTCTTTTACTTAGGAAATTATATGCAGAAGAAGGCTTACGTTCTTGTTGAAATACTTGCTATTTTTGTGCTATTTAATTGCCTCTTTCCATTTCAGATTCCTTCCTGAGCAATGATGGCTCTCTCTGTTGCAATATAAAA